TCAAATCTGGATGGTTAGGAGCATCAAGTATAAAATGATGAAGTTAAAATTTTAAATTAATCTTTTCTTGTTCACTAAAATCCAAAGGATAAAATTTGTTCACAAGTGTGCATATATGATCAATGTTAAAAATTTTATAAACATCATTTGGAATTAAAGCATTGCTTAAAGTTAAAAGTTCCATTGTTTTCTCATTAAACGTATCATTTAATTCTTGTAATTGTTTATCCACTGTAATAAAAAATATGTTCACCCTAGAGTGATGTTCTACTGTAATACAATCTTTTTTATGTCGAGAATGACCATGATGTGCTACATAGGTAGAATTAAAATTAGGAATATCAATGTCATATTGCTCACAAAACAATGTCACATCTTTCAACAAATCTTGCCAACCCTCCTCTCTTAATTTTTTAATCAAAATTTTAGTCGAATAGACTAACTGCATAGCATTATGTATATCCTGAGATTGTTTCTGTAAAGCTTGACAAAGACAATCAGTAATTCCCATAATTTCTTTCATCATGTGTAAAATCAATACAAACTCAAACTCAGACAAAATATTATAAACAACATCAGCATCACCCCTTTGAGAATAAATTGAACCATCAATTATAATTTTTTGGAGAACTAAACAAGATGCACTATACAATTTCATCATACTACAAATGGAATGAAAATTTGAACTCCAACGAGTATCACCAACTCGTTTTAAAGTGCCAATTTGATTTTTTCCTTTACCAATTTCAAGTTCACCAAGTTCTAACAATTTTGCTATTTCATCTAATTCTGCACTTTGTAATTTCTCATGACGTTTACTAGATGAACAAACAACATTTATAATAAAAGCCAAATTTGAAAAAAATTGATGAACTGGAATAACTTCTCTTGTAGCAGCAACCAAAGCAAGTTGTAATCTATGAGCAAAACAATGTACATAATAAGCATAAGGATTATCATGAAGAAATAATGTTTGTAATCCATTTCATTCTTCTCTCATATTACTAGCACCATGATATCCTTGCCCACGAATATTGGAAACATCAAGATTATGTCTAGAGAGAACAACACATAATTCTCTTTTAAGAGTAGCAGCTGTAGTATCCTTAACATGCACAATATCAAAATGCGTTCTTTAATATTACTCATTTTATCTACAAATCTCAAAACAATAGCCATTTATTCTCTTCTAGATTCATCATGAGCTTCATCAACAATTATACAAAATTTTGAGTCACCAATTTCTTCATGAATATAATTTCTTACTTTTCTAGAAAAAATTTGCAAAATTTCCTTTTGAATATGATGAGAAGTATATTTTGAATTATAAGGAGCATTTTCTCACACAACTTGTGCTACTTTATCATTGTATGATGCTAAAAGTTTAATCATCTCAAGAAAGTTACCTCTATTACTTGAATATGGAGTTTCATCATGGCCTCTAAATGCACAAGCTTGAAATGCTAGACAACGAATTGTATCAATAGAAGTTTTAAGCCGTAAATGATTTTTGCAAACTTCTTCTGAATTTTGCACATTTATAATGTTGTCAATGTGCTTAGATTGATTCAATAAGTCTGTACATGCTTTTATTGCATTGTTATGTGGTGAACAAGGACTATCTTCAATATGACTAAGAAACGCACAATTCTTTCATGAATTAACCTTTTTCCATGATCTAAATCCTTATCTAATAAACACATCTGCCCCAGAACGACTATTTGACATTGTATTAAATAGATAACATGGCAAACAATAAGCTCCATCACTAGTTGGAGAATACTCTAACCAAGAAGGAAACATTTTAAACCAACCATATTGAAATCTCCTAGGATGTTTCTCTTTAGAAAAAGGATAATTTTTAAGTTGTATTTGATATGGACCCCAATTTAAATAAGCTCTTCTAATTTCATCTCTTTGATTCATAGGATATTCATGTATCTGAAGACATTTTCCTGGGTCACACTCCAAAGAATTAATATTAAATTCGTTGGTTTTAATTCTATGAATCTTAGAAAGGGGTTCTTCTAATTGAATAATTGGATAATCAATATCATGCTTTGAAACAGGAGAAGATGTTGAATTTGTTTGGTTTTCATCTCTACAAGTATCTCTTTTATCACTTTTAAAAAATGAATCTATTCTTTTATGCTTCATATATAGAGAAAAATGAATCTATTATTAATTTTCTAATTATAGAATCATAAAAATTTATAAAAAACAAAAATAGTTTTCTCAAACAACAAATGTTCTTCAACAAAAATCAAAATAACAAACAATAATAGAATAAGCAGTGAAAAGATGAAGAAAAAGTACTTTTATCAATCAATATAATTTCAAGTATGGAATCCGACGAGGGAGGAAGAGAGACAAACAATGAATTTGAAAGTACAAACTACAAAAATAACTTAATATTAATCAATCAATATTACCGTTCATGAGAGAATATGAAAATGTGAGAGAAGATGAAGAACTACTTTTAATCTTTTTTATTTAATATATTCTTTAGAAATTAGAGAAGCAATTAAATACTAATAAAATATTACCGTTAATGAGAGAGTATGAAAAGGTGAGAGAAGACAGAAAGGTCGGATAATAAAATTATTTTTAATCTTTCTTATTTAATTTATTCCTTCAGTTTTTTTCTTTATAATATATTTAATATTGGGGGGAATAAATATCTAAGTAAGTTACAAAACTTTGGGGGTCATGGCCCCCTTAATTACTATGAAGATCCGCCACTGTCAGTGATGTCTATGATAGAGCAGTAGGGAATTAAAGAATGAAGATTATTGATCATTTTAACCCGATCCAATTTGGAGCCCAAATTCAAAAATAAAGAGAATTCCAAAAGATTGTCCAAAATCAAGTAGCATAGCATAAGAATAGAAATGGACATCACAAAAAATCAATTTTATCCCAAACTTTATTTATTTTGCTACACAATTGGTCACACTAAAAAAAGTATCTTAACGTAGTTTGCCCACAAAATTAAAATATTTCATGTATCATATTTAATGTATTATTTCTTTATATTTTATTTTAATAAATAAATTTTCAATATTAATTTTTTATAATTCTAATATCTTATTCTAAATGTCCAATATCATAACATTATTTTTAATTAATCGTAAATCAACTTTCTTTTATTTTTTATATTACTTAACCGTAACAAACCAAATAATTTTAATATTTTTTTAATACATGTATATAAATATATAAATGTTGAAAAATATAAATATTACCATATCTTTATATATAAATATCTAAGTATATTTATATTTAAATGTATAAATATTAACACATGTTAATATATAAATATATTAATACCTAATTATATATACACTGATATATTAAAATTTAAAGATAAAAAAAATAAAATAAAAAACCTCATAAAAAATTATAAATAATCAATTTTTATATATAAACTTGTATTTAATTGTTTAAATAAAAAATAAGTTTAATGCAGATATTTTAGTTTACAGCATTTGATATGATGATAAGCATCATCATAACATTATCAATAATTACACTTTTTCAAACTACTTTCTTTTTTCCGATATTTTGATAAGATAAAAAGCCTCTATTTCATAATTTTTTTTTAGATTTTTATATTATTATTTATTTATCTTAGTTTATTCTTTTTCATCAATTAATAAAATAAATAATATATTTTAGAATTGTTTACAAGATGTTTGTAAAAATTGATTGTTAAAAAAAAAATTCTGTGAATTATTTTTAATATATATTTTAGTGTTTAATTTTAACTAGACTTTAATATTTTAGGATTGTCGATGTTTGTAAAGATTGGTTATTAAAATATTTTTTCTTTTTTTTATTACTTGTAAACTATATTTAATATATATTTTAGTGTTTAATTTTTATGTATATTGTCTTAAAGTCTGACACCATTGATTAATAAAAAATGTTTTATAAAAAAAATGCTAATTTATGATTAAATAATAATGTACAAAAATGATATAAGCTGCTAGCATACTTTAATTAAATTCTTACACTATATTTCATATTAAAATAAAAATAATCTTCAACAAAACTTCTGAATATTTTACATTCATTACGTGATTATAAGTAAATAAGAAAAAGTACTTAAGAGTTTGAAATTACTGTATACATGTAACTTACTTGTATTTTGTAATTTATTATAAATTACTACACTTGAGCTATAACTTATTTATTCGTTACAGTAAAAATTATGAAATGTTAGAAGCTTAAAATGCTAAGGTCAAGTAATAATATGTGAAACTTCAATAAAATACAAATGAACTGCCTTTAAAAAGTTAAAAAATAAAAATAAAAATCCATAAACTAAGATTTTAATGTATGAAAATAAAAGGCTTAATTTATTTTACTGTTTCTTGATAAACTTCTCCGAACATTCCCATTATACACATTCGTTCACTAATTCTGAGTCGAAGATGTAAAGAAGTTTCTCACAAACTACACTGCATCTTACATTGCTACTTTCTCCAATATGCATACAATAATAGACCGTTAAGACTTTTATTACAACGAACAAGTAAAATCACAGCATCATAAATCAACTTGAAATAAAAAAAAAATTACAGACAGGACATACTAAATGTATACATGTTGATTGACAATACATAGAAGGAGAACATATGCAATGCTTCTCAAAATATATTTCTTCCGTGAATGCTTGCAACATATTTTTTAATATACTTTTTATGACACTAATATTAACTGAAATTTGTTAGGACTCACAAAACAACATGGGGTTTCATTTTATATAACAAGTACCACTCGTAATTTCTGAGTCTCAACAAATTTTAGTCAAAAGTGAAAAGTATGCTAAAAAAGTGTGCTAAAGAATATGTTGCTGTTATTTCTCATATGACTACAATTTACAATTACTACGTTGCAAGCTAAACTACTAGTGGCATCTGAGTGGCTCCAGTGAACTGATAAGGCAGACATCAATAGTGTTGTGCATGACTCTCGTCTAGTGGAAATTTGGCACATCAAACTCGGATCCGTTTGACATCACTTTCAGGGACACTGATATCAAGCCTATCTCCACTGCTTGAACTAACAGTTTGTCCTGAGACCTGCCAAATCATACATGTATGTTGGTGACATAGTAAGTTTTTCTAATCTTCACATGAACACAATGTTTATGGACACTGTTAGATATTGTTTAGATATTATTTGATATTGTTAGATATTAATAACCACAATATCAAACAATATCTTCTGTTTATTCTGTTACTTTCAGTTACTTTTTTAGTTGTATCTCTCTATTATAAATAGACCACCCTATGTGTGATTTATACACAAGGAAAATTAATTCCAAATCCTATTTTCTCTATATTCAACATGGTATCTAGAGCTTAAGGTTATCTTGAATTTTTTTCCGCCTTTTGTCCACTGTTGGAGCCGCCCCACCGCTGCTAGAGCCGCCCCACCGCTGCTCGTAAACTGATCCTCCACATCAGAAAAGAATTATCTTTGTCATTGAATTTTATTTGGTAGTGTGAAAGTGCATGTTTAAGAAAGTTCTGGCAAGGAAAGACTTGGTATTTAAGTGTGTCCATTAGTGACCCACCTCTCTTTCCTGGGAACTTACCTGGTGTACTAGTTCACGTTACTATCACCGCTGCCGCTGGAGCAGTCACCGGGTCCGCCGCTGTCGGAGAATTCGCCGGAGTTTCATTTTTTTTTTTATCGGTGACATATGATTTTGCTTGTCTCGGTCAGGTGACCACCGTGCCATTGAGATCACCACTATCGGAGTTGGTCGTTCCATTGTCTCCTGCACCGTTTAGTCTTGGTGAACTTATTTTTAGTATTCTCATTTTGGATTTGTGCTTCGTGGGTTAATTGGATTACTTTGGATTGTTTTAGGGTTTGTTCTCCCGCTCTTCATGACTTCTTCCACTATTTCCAATTTTGTTAACGATTCTTTTATGTTGACATCCCATCGTGATGACCGGGCTCGCCCTCGCAAACAGAAAAAAAGGGCGTCCTAAGTGTGAACATTGTGGCAAGCTAGGTCACAAGATTAACAAGTGTTATACATTACATGGTCGTCCTCCTCAGTCTGCTGTAGTTGTTCAGACAAATCTTTCCCCACCTTTATCTGCAGGGGATCTTCCTTCTTCTGTTGCATCCGACATGTCTGCTATGTTCAACAAATTTCTCAAATGGTATAAGGATCAACAGTCTTCTAGTTCCACTATATCTGTCACACATACAAATACATATTTTGCTGGTCTGACCCAATCATTTTCTCCTTGTCCTTGGGTTTTTGATTCAGGAGTCACTGATCATATTACTGGTAACAAATCTTTGTTCTCCTCTTTATCCTCTCCTAATCATTTACCTTCTGTTACACTGGCTGATGGCTCTAGAGTATCATCTCATGGTGTTGGAACGATTAAACTTTTTCCTTCTTTAACCATTGATAATGTTCTTTATGTCCCTGGGTCTCCTTTTAACCTGTTGTCCATCAGTCGTCTAACTCGTTCTCTTGATTGTGTTGTTACTTTTACCAACAATTCTGTGTGTTTACGGGACCGGAGTTCGAAACAGGTGATTGGCACAGGATGTGAGTCTCATGGTCTTTATTATCTCCGTCCCTCTACACATGTTAGTACGGTTATGGAGTCTCCTCTCTTCTTCATGCTCGGTTAGGTCATCCAAGTCTTGCCAAGTTACGAAACTTGTCCCTGCCTTGTCCAACTTATCTAGTTTGGCGTGAGTCATGTCAATTAGGCAAACATAGTCATACTTCCTTTCCTCGTAGTTTCACACGTGGTGCTTCGTCCCCTTTTGTCGTGGTTCACTCTGACATTTGGGGACCTAGCCGCGTTAAGTCTACTTTAGGTTTTCAATACTTTGTTACTTTCATTGATGATTATTCCAGATGCACTTGGTTATTTTTGATGAAAAATCGTTCTGAATTATTTCATATCTTTCAAACTTTTTTTAATGAAATTCAAACTCAGTTCGGTGTTTCTATTAGAGTTTTGCGTAGTGATAATGGCCGTGAATATCTTTCTCATTCTTTTAAACAATTCATGGCTTCTCACGGTATTTTGCATCAAACTTCTTGTGCTTATACACCTCAACAAAATGGTGTAGCTGAACGTAAAAATAGACATCTTATTGAAACAACTCGCACACTTTTAATTCATGGAGATGTTCCTCAACATTTTTGGGGTGATGCTCTTCTTACTGCATGTTATCTCATTAATCGCATGCCTTCTTCGGTTTTAGATAATAAAATACCTCATTCCATTTTATTCCCTCATGAACCACTTCATCCTTTACCTCTAAAAGTTTTCAGGTCTACATGTTTTGTTCATAATTTCAGTTCTGGTCTGGACAAACTTTCTCCTAGATCACATAAATGTGTTTTCTTAGGGTTTACAAGATCACAAAAAAGATACAAATGTTTTTCTCCTTCTCTTAACCGTTATTTTGTGTCAAAAGATGTCAAATTTATTTTAAAAGTCAAATTTCACCTCTGTCTCCATCCAATCTTGTCAACACTCGTAATACATTTAATGTTCCTATTGTTTGTGACCCTCTAACTGTGTCTTCTTCACCATTAGTTCCTGCTCCGCAGTCAGCTTCTTCTCCACTGCCTCTTCAGATTTATAGTTCTCGAAACTAATCACAACCACCACCATGTGACTCTACTCAAGTGTCAACTACTCTGTCTCCTCCGGATCTGACACATGAGTCTGACCTTCCCATTGCCCTCCGAAAAGGTATTCGTTCTACACGTAATCCCTCTCCCCATTATATTGCTTTGAGTTATCATCGACTGTCATTACCTTTTTATACATGTCTTTCCTCTCTTTCTTCTGTGATCATTCCAAAAACTGTCCGTGAAGCTTTAGCCCATCCTGGTTGGCGTCAGGCCATGTTAGATGAACTAAGTGCTCTTCATAATAGTGGAACTTGGGAATTGGTCTCGTTACCGTCTGGGAAATCTGTTGTTGGTTGCAGGTGGGTGTTTGCTATCAAAGTTGGACCTGATGGTACTATTGATCGCCTCAAAGCACGTCTTGTGGCCAAAGGTTATACTCAAATTTTTGGGTTGGATTATGGAGATACCTTTTCCCCTGTGGCAAAGATGACTTCTGTTCGTTTATTTATCGCCATGGCCGCTCTTCAACAATGGCCTCTTTATCAACTAGATGTTAAAAATGTTTTCCTCAATGGTGATTTGCAAGAAGAAATCTATATGGAGCAACCTCCTGGGTTTGTTGCTCAGGGGGAGTCTTCTGGGATGGTATGTCGTCTTCGCAAATCCCTATATGGCCTAAAACAGTCTCCTAGGGCCTGGTTTGGAAAGTTTAGCAAGGTTGTTCAACAATTTGGTATGACTCGGTGTGAAGCAGATCACTCTGTCTTTTATCGACACTCGAGTGCTAGATGTGTTTACTTGATAGTATATGTTGATGACATTGTTCTTACAGGTAGTGACAACCATGACATCTCTCAGTTAAAACAACATCTCTATCACCATTTTCAGACCAAAGATCTTGGCAAACTTAGATATTTCTTGGGTATTGAGGTGACACGATCCAATGATGGTATTGTTATATCTCGGAGGAAGTATGCCATAGATATTTTGGAGGAAACTGGGTTGATGAGTTCAAAGTCCGTTGATACACCCATGGATCCCAATACTAAACTTCTACCAAATCGGGGAGCCTATATCGATCCTGAGCAGTATAGAAGATTGGTTGGAAAATTGAATTATCTTACGGTTACTCGTCCCGACATTTCCTTTGCGATCGGTGTGGTAAGTCAATTTCTTAATTCACCATGTGAAGATCATTGGAATGCAGTCATTCGTATCTTGAAGTATATTAAAGGATCTCCTGGAAAAGGATTGTTATATGGTTCTAATAACCATACAAGAGTTGTTTGCTACTCGGATGTCGATTGGGCGGGATCTCCTTCGGATAGAAGATCTACATCTGGATATTGTGTCTCCATTGGTGGTAACTTGATCTCATGGAAAAGTAAGAAACAAAGTGTTGTGGCAAGATCCAGTGCGAAGCGAGAATATAGAGCTATGGCCTCAGCTTCCCGTGAACTTGTTTGGCTCAAGCAATTGCTTAGAGAGTTACAATTTGGAGATGTCACTCAAATGACACTTGTGTGTAACAATCAGTCTGCTCTTCATATTAGTTCTAATCCTGTCTTTCATGAGAGGACCAAACACATTGAGATTGACTGTCATTTTATTCGAGAAAAAATTATGTCTGGAGATATCAAGACTGAGTTTGTTAACTCAAGTGATCAGTTAGCAGATATTTTTACTAAATCTTTACGGGGTCCTAGAATTGATTATATTTGTAACAAGCTTGGCACATACGATTTGTATGCTCCGGCTTGAGGGGAGTGTTAGATATTGTTTAGATATTATTTGATATTGTTAAGATATTGGTAACCACAATATCAAACAATATCTTCTGTTTATTCTGTTACTTTCAGTTACTCTTTTAGTTGTATCTCTCTACTATAAATAGATCACCCTATGTGTGATTTATACACAAGGGAAATTAATTTCAAACCCTATTTTCTCTATATTCAACAGACACAACCAATCAGATTGTTTAAGATAATACTAAATTAACTATAACACTTATTTCAGCAAACTATTATTTTAATGGATCTTGCATTTGATTACTTGCGAGAGTTACTCCTCGTACCAAGTCAAAAGGACCAAAGTTCACTCCTATATGTCTAGTAATCTTCACAAGTTGAATTACTATTTTCTTCACAAGCCATAGAAATACTATTGTACCATATACAATCCACCTTTCACCCCATATAAAACAATAATTTGCTGAAATATGACACTTACAGTTTCATCCGGAACAACTGCATATCTCTTAGATAAGGAGCCACCGCTTTTCCCTGTTTGAGAAAACAAAAGAGCTATCATGATGCCAAATTGCATTAGAAAAATGTGAATCTAAATTACACTACTAAATGGAATCGACAGTAATGGCTGAAAAGAAAAGGAACACTTTTACTGATGAGTAATAAGCAGAACAAAGCACCTGACAATAGATCAGTGTTTGAGGATTCTATTTGCTGCCCAGAAGATCCATCCACACTCAATGCCTCAATAATCTTTGGAGAATTCCTAAAAACCCAAAATCATACCATTAAAACAGGACATACAATCAAATGCACCCATTACCCAAAACTAGGTTTACGGTTAATAAATTAGGTCAGCTATATAACTTTTTATTCGTAGACGAACATGGTCATAGCTGCCACCAAAATTAACTTTTTTTTTTTCCTGGGTGAATAAAAGACACACAAATCCTTATTCAAACGCCTATGATCGAAAATAAATAATTTGATATAAAATGAATACGCACCAAGATGGTGCAACGAATGTAGCAATATTAACCTATATTCTAATAGATAACAAAGATACCCTGTACAGCTACATTATACAAGCTAGTTTTTGCTTTCTCAACCTCGGTGAGAACCAAACCATCCACTTCACCGGTGTCATTACACACCCAATACGTCAATAATAATAATAATAATTTCATGACCAAGACCATTGATCCAAATTCTAACAGATTAAAAATAGCAGCCATTACAAATACGATGATATCAGATTCTATTCCCAGTTCATCTATGAAGTGACATTAAACATTTCAAAAAAAAAAATTAATTTGTTCCGGATTAAAGGTATTGTTTGAAGCAATTGGTTAGGACAATGAACTAGCCACTAGAAGTCAGCTGATCATAAGTTGTGATAAGGGTGATTTGCATATCAAAGGTTCAAACCTCTATGCAGTCATAGCCCTAAAAATAACTTAACACTACCAACAACAAAAACAATTGTTTCTCCTATTAAGCATACTTTTATAACCAATGAAAAATTATCTCTTAAGTGCCTTGAGCAAATAAATGAAGAGAAAACAATTAAGGGAAAGATGAATGCACGCCTGAAAGTCCTATTAAATATATTCAGGTTGTATGTGCAATTACCGGTCAATGGTATCCCCATGCCCAAGTTGCCCATTTGTGCCTCTTCCCCAAGAATATACATTGTTCTTGTCAGTTACAGCAATTGTGTGTCTCCACCCACATGAGATCTGAATTACTTTCTGCCATGTCAAACAAAAAGTGTGGAGAAATAAAAAAAAAATAGAATAGTCAGTGGATTATTTAAAGAAAGACATTGACTGTAAGATGCAAACTTGAAACATTCCAAATGAAAGAAAAAAAGGGAAGAAGAGTATTACAGTTTCAAGTACCTGATCATGGGGGAACTTCACTTGAACAGGAGAGCAGCGATCAACATTGTCACCCACTCCAACCTGTCCAAACTACAATTGAAGGAAAAATAGGTTACAATTTTCCAAACACATCAATAATAAAAGACCTGTTATTGTACAGAAAAAGAATGAAGTCTTATACCAATTATTTTATATGATGTACAATATATTTATTTCTCTGTACATATGAATGCTTTTACCAGACAGTCATGTATCATCTGGTGTGTTCATAAATCGACAAGTATTTCTTGTCATAATACAAAATGTGACATGAACATGGGAAAATAAAAAATTACTCAAACCTTATTCCAACCCCATCCATACAGTAATCCAGTAGATGTAAGTGCCATACTATGCCTCCAACCACCTGATACCTGAAGAAGGTCCAAGCCAAGTTAAGAGACAAACAACACAACTATATATCTAACAACTAATATATTATTGCACCCAGTGTGCAAGGCTTTAGTGTAGGATAAACAAACACAACACATATGGTGGAACCCTTACATGAGAAGTATTTCCAATCCTGCCCCTAACAGAGAAAATCCAACATTCAAAATATGGGACAGGAGGAAGATACTAGCTACTAAAGAAGCAGAGAGAAGCGATATGCCAATGCATTCAAATAATATGAGAAATTGCCACCTAGACACCTACTCAGCATAAAATAAAAGGACTACCTTAGAGATCAACTTGTCACTCAAGGCTTCAAGCTTGTGAGGCACAAGAGAATCCTCAAAATTTCCATGACCTAGCTGGCCATATTTGCTCCACCCATATGTGTATAAGCCACCAGATGATGAAACAGATATCGTATGGCGCCAACCACAGGCAACCATGACCATCTTGTCACACTGTAATGTTCAACAAGCAAGAATTGAGTAAGGGGAGTAAAATACATAAGTTCTTTAGTATGCATATACACCAATTGCACGTGAATCTTAAAAATACGTTCCAGACAAATTGCACAAAAATTAGCATTGGAAATGCTGCTTCTTCTCTTAGATGGAAGGAAAACTATTTTTCAGAAATCAAACAACATGAAATCACATATATTCCATATATAATCAGAGTCTAATCAGTAAAGGTAAGATGATACCAGATTAAGGACATACATCAACAGAAGAAACTTTCTCAGGAATCCAGCGATCGTTTCTATCTCCCAATCCCAAATTTCCATATCGGCCCCAACCCCATCCATACAGTTCTCCATTTTCAGCAATAGCTACACTGTGTTCTGCACCTGCAGCAACCATTTTGATAGGTACTTCCTACAATAGAAACAATTGCATGAGCCTAAAGTTAATGGAATAATTCTTCACTTCATTATAATTATCAATGTTTAATGAATAAATAATATAATGTTACTCCTAATTTCATGGCGTACTTTTTTTTTTTTTTTTTTATCTTAGCTGCTTTTCTCTTCTATTTGTTTAAAGTAGGGGATGCTTGTGAAATGAAAAAATGTTGTTGCCTTCCAGAAGATCGGAATTGGAAGATTGATTGATTAAATTCTCTACCATTCAGTTTCAAGATTCAGAACCAAATTAAAAAAAAAAAAAAAAGACTAGTGAAGTGGTAGAAGCAAACATCAAACTGCTACAATTCAACCTATGAAGTTGAAGGGAGAGACTGGGGGCAACAAAGGCAATAGGAGAAATGAAAAACTTTGAGGAATTGAATTAAATGATACAGAGGGAAATTGGTTAGCGGAGAGGATGGGGATCATAATATGAGGGATACATGACACCTGATGAATTGAAGGTATGATTCTGGGAAGATTGAGGGAGAGAGGGGAAATGTTATACAGAGGGGTGATGGAGAGAAGCGTAAGGAATTGGAGGACGCTTTGAGCAGTCTAAGGCTGGAAGGGCTGATATATGTACATTCTGCGATATTTTCAGGGTGGAGTGTTACAGATGAACAAGACAGAAAACTGAGAAATAGGGGGAAGAAGAAATAATAGTGTTGTTGAGAACATAGTTGAATGACAAACGGAAAAAGTAGAGACTTTTCCTTCCAAGAGTTCCCCCTTCAACGAATGACTTCTAAATACTAGTCCTCTTTTATTTCCTTCTCCCTGTTTAAGCAACGCCTCTGCTCCTATTACTCTCAAGTCTGAACCACTTAATAGTGTTGGTTGTCTTATTCCATCTAACTAATCTAGATGCTTTGCCTTGCTTCTTGGCTTTCTTTATTCTTCTGTCCTGAGTCCCATCAGATTTAGAGAGACTGTGCATCCTTTTCTTTATATTGATTCAAAAAGAGGTTAAATGAGTAGTAATTACATATATGGAAGAAGTAACTTATCATTGTGTATTGATTCTTGATAACTTGTTCATAGATTTTTATTTATCATAAATAACCTTAATGAATGCCATTGAAAAGGGTACCTGAAATGTTTGAATCTTTTGCGGCACAAGAGAATCCTCTGTGGTGCCAAGTCCAAGTTGACCATTTTGATTCCTCCCCCAACTTCAAATAAGAGGGAAAAAGATAATACAAGGGTTAGAGAAAATGATAATAAAACAACAAAATCTGGCTAGCACCTCCATCAAGGGTTTAGTTTGCAAACAACAAACAAAAATCTGGCCATCAGCCCCATAGAATAAAACAAGGATTTCTATTTATACCTTTTAAAAAGGAATGTCAATCGAACAATGAGTGTATCAGGTAGTAATAAGTAAGAATTCAACCTAGAGTACTAAAACCAGATGCATGTACCAAGTTCAAGGTAGCAGATCTATGGTTTGTTTGGAAGAGCTTATTTACTATTTATTAAGACTTTTCTTATGACATACACATTTCTGTAAGCATTTGGAAGAGCGTATGAAAATAACTTACTATATGCCCATAAGTTGTTTTTAGCTTATCTCACCCCAAGATACCTTATGAAAAGAGTTCAACCTATTCTTTTCAATTATAAAAACAACTATATATAACAAGAGACTGTTCCCAAAACAAGTGGGGTAATTAAAATTGATAATTGATATACTGACAGCTCTTTTTTTCAAATATCTACTCTACAACTCTTATTTAATAATAAGAATAAAAATAAATAAACAATTAAATTTTAAGATCTTATTATTATTATATTAAACACAGGCACCCATGCCCCCGTATGTCCCCATTTTTTTTTTCTTAATGCAAATAAGTTTTCTTTAAGAATGAGAAATGTAAGAGATAAATGACAGTTTTATTATTTTTATTTATTAATTTTATTTGAGTGAAGAATTTGAAGAGAAATTGAAGGATATTTGTTCCTAAAATTATGCATTGTTGGATATAAGTAAATGTGGGAGGGAGTTTTAAGAGAGTAGTGAGAAATGACAGAGAAAGTGTAAGTGAGGATATTTCAAAAAGAGAGAAATGATAGTTTATATTATTTGTATTTATTAATATTATTATTTTCTAGCATTAATCGCCGTTCACCACCATCCACCGCTGGTGCTGTCTTCTCCGGCGCCTTTTTCCTCTCTGACACTTGGGTTTGGCTCACCTCGAGGAGCGCGACCCAACCCCAGTGTTCGCTTCCTCTATCTCTGCCTCACGGGCCGCCACGCGCCACCCTCGTCCGCGGCTTCCTCCGCGCGTGGGCCTCACGCACCGCCCTCTCGGTGGCTGTTTTGCTCTAGGCCACCTCTATCCGGCTCGCCTCGTCGCCCTGGTGCCAAATCTGCACTTTGTTTTGTGTTCTCGGTCACAAAACGTGGTGGGTCTGCATTTTTCTCTCTGCCTCTCTCGGTCCTCTCTCTGACAGCACGCTGGTCCTTTCTTGTTTCCTGGAAAATGTCGGGACACTGTGTACGTATCTTTTCTACGGGACTCAGACTATAACCACGGAAAAATTAAATGGAAAAAATTATTTGTCTTGGACTTCCTCTGTTGAGCTCTGGTTTCTAGGTCAAGGAGTTCATGATCATCTAGAAGAAGATGGAAGTACTATACCGACGAGATCGGGCTCCTCAATGGAAGAAACTGGATTATCAACTTTGTGCACTATTATGGCAATATGTTGAACCACATATTTTGAGCACTCTTCGAGCCTTCAAGACATGTAATTCTTTTTGGAAAAAGGTTCAAAATATCTTTGCTAACGATATTCAACGACTTTATGATTCTGCTAATAGACTAGCCTCCCTTAAGCAAGAGGATAATTCCATGATGTCCTTTGTTGCTGAAGCTCAGTCAGCTGTTGAAGAATTAAAAATGTTCCTGGAGGCGAGAATCATTAGAAGAAAGGAAGACGAAGGCTGGATAAATTCTATATGGTAATGATTCTTAGGGCTATGAATCCGAGTTTAATCATGTTAGAGACCAGATTCTAACAGGAGAAGAAGTTCCTTCTACGGAGAGTTTAATCACAAGGCTACTTCGTGTTCCTTCTATCAAAAGCAAAAACAGTCAGGAACTTCCTGATTCTTCCGCCATGATTTCTGCTCGTGGAAGAGGTAATCACAGCTCTAGAGGACGTGGTGGGAAAGGACGTCCTCAATGCTCTCATTGCAAAAGAATGGGACATACTAAGGAAAATTGCTTTGCTCTGCACGACTTTCCTGATAAGGCAGCTAATACCTCAAAATCTGAAGTTGATGAGCCCAAGTTCTCTCATGAAGAGTATCAAGAATATTTAAGGATGAAATCAACCAATTTGGCTCAAGCATCTACAACACCAAATTCGTCAACCGCTTGCATTTCGCAATCTGTGGAAAGTCAAAATCCATGGATTATTGACTCAGGTGCTTCTGACCACATGTTTGGTAATACCTCTTTATTTTCCTCTCTTTCATTTCCTAAAACATCCCATCTCATATCTTTAGCTAATGGATCTAAAGTAACCTCTAAAGGAATTGGTCAAGTATCCATCTCTTCTTCTTTAAACCTTCAAAATGTTCTTTGTGTTCCTTCTTTTCCATTCAGTCTTGTTTCTGTAAGCCAATTAACCAAATAATTGAATTGTTCAGTAACCTTTAATGCCAATTGTTTTGTTATCCAGGAACGTGATACGGGTCGACTGATTGGAGAAGGACGTGAATCTAGAGGCTTATATTATCTTAAGACTAAGTCATCTGTATCTTGTGTTGCATCCTTATCCCCAAAACTATTACGTGAGCGATTAGGGCCTCCTCATTTAGCAAAATTGAAAAAAATGGTTCCTGAACTTCAGAACCTTCAAACTCTTGAATGTGAATCCTGTCAACTAGGGAAACATACCAGGTCATCCTTTCTAAATCATTCTAAATCTAGATGTGATTCTGCTTTTAGTATTGTTCATTCAGATATATGGGGACCTAGTCGTGTTTCATCTTTTGGTTTTAGATATTTTGTTACTTTTATTGATGGGTTTTCTAGATGTACTTGGGTTTATCTTATGAAAGATCGTTCTAAACTATTGCCTATCTTTAAGTCTTTCCTTAATGAAATCAAAACTCAATTTGGAAAAGTAATCAAAGTTTTACGAAGTGATAATGCCAAAGAGTACTTTTCTAATGATTTTTCTAATGTCCTAAATTCTCAAGGCATTTTACACCAGTCCACGTGTCCTCACACACCACAGCAAAATGGTATAGCAGAACGAAAAAATAGACATTTGGTTGAAACTGCTCGTACCTTATTGCTGGGTGCCAATATGCTTATTCATCACTGGGGATATGTTATTCTAACTGCATGCTTTCTCATTAATAGAATGCCATCTTCTTCTCTTGATAATAAAGTTCCACACTCTATTCTATTTCCAAAGGAACCAATTTTTCATGTTTCTCCTAGGGTATTTGGATGTATATGTTTTGTTCATGACATGTCTCCTGGCTTAGATAAACTCTTACCTAGAGCTATCAAATGTGTCTTCTTGGGGTATTCTCGTCTTCAAAAAGGATATCGGTGTTATTCTCCTGAAACCAAGAGGTACTACATGTCTGCTAATGTCACCTTTTTTGAATCATCATCCTTCTTTCCTTATTCTATGCAGGATATTGATTCTGTCCAAAATGTGTTTTTTGTTCCCTTAGTTGAATCAGTTGTACCTCCTATTCCTGACACCCCAAATCCCAACCAAAATACTCTAGAATCAGCATCACAGCCTATCATCACCTATCAACGCAGGAACCAGGTGAACAATCCCATTCCCCAAGATGAGTCATCCATAACAGGTCCTTCACCATCATTCTCTAATACCACGGCTCCTGATAACGATGACTCCAGTTGGCCCATTGCCATTCGCAAAGGTACTCGTTCTACTTGTAATCCTCATCCCATTTACAATTTTCTTAGTTATCATAGATTGTCTCCTTCCTATTATTCTTTTATTTCCTCTTTCTCCTCTATTACAATTCCCAAAAATGTGGTCGAAGCGCTTGATCATCCTGGATGGCGACAAGCCATGATTTCTGAAATGCAGGCTCTTGATCACAACAAAACATGGGAGCTTGTTCCTCTCCCTTCGGGAAAGAAAACAGTTGGTTGTCGTTGGATCTATGCTATTAAAGTTGGGTCCAATGATCAGGTTGATCGTCTTAAAGCAAGGTTAGTGGCTAAAGGGTATTCTAAAATATATGGACTTGATTATTGTGATATTTTTTCTCCAGTAGCCAAAATGACCACTGTCCGCCTGTTCCTTGCCATGGCCGCCATTCGTCATTGACCTCTTCATCAATTGGATATTAAAAATGTTTTTTTGCACGGTGACTTAGAAGAAGAAGTTTACATGGAGCAACCTCCTGGATTTGTTGCTCAGGGGGAGCCTGATTTAGTTTGTAAATTACGTCGATCCCTCTATGGTCTAAAACAATCTCCACGTGCTTGGTTTGGAAAATTCAGCTCTATTGTTCAAGCTTTTGGATTAAAACGCAGCGAAGCAGATCATTCGGTGTTTTATTGTCACACTGCCCCTGGCAAACATGTTTATTTAATTGTGTACGTTGATGATATTGTCATCACAGGGAATGATGCTGCTAAAATATCTCAGCTAAAAGTGCACTTGTGTAGTCATTTTCAGACCAAGGATCTTGGAAATCTAAAATATTTCTTAGGTATTGAAGTAGCTCAATCAAGAGAAGGTATTGTCATCTCTCAAAGGAAGTATGCTCTAGATATTCTAAAAGAGACAGGTATGATTGATTGCAAACCTGTGGACGAGTCCTATGGATCCAAATTTGAAGTTAATGGCAAGACAGGGTGAAGTTTTCTCGACCCGTAAAGATATAGAAGACTTGGTTGGGAAACTTATTTATTTGACGATTACTAGACCTCGATTTGTCTTTTGCGGTTGGTGTTGTCGGCCAATTTATGCAAGCTCCTTGTGTGGATCATTGGAATGTTATCATTCGAATCTTAAGATACATTAAAAAAGCTCCAGGACAAGGATTATTATATGAAGATAAGGGAAATACCCAAATTTTTGGGTACTGTGATGCTGACTGGGCTGGATCTACTATGGATAGGCATTCCACTACAGGCTATTGTGTTTTCATTGGAGGAAATATCATTTCATGGAAAAGCAAAAAGTAAAACGTTGTTGCCCGATCCTCTGCTGAAGCTAAATATAGGGCAATGGCATCTCTTACTTGTGAACTTGTTTGGGTAAAACAATTCTTGCAAGAATTGAACTTCTGTGAGATTCAATCTATGAAGATGTATTGTGATAATCAAGCTGCTCTTCACATTGCTTCCAACCGAGTATTTCATGAGAGGACTAAGCATATTGAGATTGACTGTCATTTTATTCGGGAGAAGTTGTTGACTAAAGAAATTTGTACTAAGTTTGTTGGATCCAATGAGCAGCTTGCAGATGCATTAACAAAATCTTTGAGAAGACCTCGAATGGAATTCATTTGTTCCAAGCTTGGTACATTCAATTTGTATGCTCCAGCTTGAGGGGGAGTGTTGAAGTATTTATTAGATTAAGTGTATCTTGTTGGACATTTATGAGATTAGTTGTAGACCTAGTTCCTAGAATGCATCTGTTTATCTTCTCTAGGATTAATCATGTATCTCTATTAATTGTATCTCTGAATCTGTATTTTTATCTCCTATAAATAAGAGAACACAAGAAGATGATTTTAGGCTCTCAAAATCAGTTCTTTATTTTCTTTTTTCTATTTCAAGTATAATTAATGAAAAGAGAATATATAAAATTAAGAAAAATAATATATTAAGCTATGCAAAAAAGTTTACAAAAAGGAATCTCCTTTATATATTGCTATAGTTAAAAACAGTTATTAGGTGTTTTTTTTAAAAAGGGGTTGTCAAGATATATTTTTCCATCCAATATTCTATTTGACTCTTCGTTCTGAAAACTGAGAAGACAAAGGAATGAAATTAAAATATCAGGCCTACGAATGCATTAGAAAACTGCATTCAACGTACACAACCAGGAATAGTAATTAGTATATGCATAACGAAATGTCAGAACAGGGAGAATGTTAACATTTTGGTCGCGAAATACAAACCTCTGAACCTGGCCTTCCATGGTAACTGCCAAACAATGAGTATCCCCACAGGCAATTTGCCTTATCCTTAGACCTTGTAATGCTATAATAGGCTGAGGAATGAGCAAATCACTAGAATTACCATGACCCAACCTTCCAAAATCACCCCTGGAAAAATCAAAATGTGGTCTGCTTGAGAATTTAAGAATAACAAAGCTAACAACATACGAAAAAAACACTATTATGTATGAGGACAAAAAATCACAAGCCAAGGTTAACAATCCAATTAGCATGATACCGATCAGTTTTCTACAAGTCCAAATGTCTAGACGTCACCCCAACCAAATTTGAATCCAACTCATGGAAAATTATAAAGAGACTGCCTAAACTTAGTAAAATTGTCTTTCAATAATCAACTGACCCAAACAATAAAATAAAATAAAAAAGGTGCCATCCCCTTGTACTGAGAAAAAATAACTGACAGACGTATTAAAGAAAGACAATGGATATTTAATTTAATCTTAAAATAGAATCCATATCTTTCAAAATATTAACTTCATAACAAACAGTTACAACTCACAACTATTTGTAATATAAAAGGCTCCAAAGAACGAACCGAGTCAACCGACATTTTTTATCTTATGCTAACTATTAAAGATATAGGTACCAAAAAAGGTAACACTATTTGAAGCTGAAACTAATAATAAACCAAAGGATCCATATATAAACTTGCTTGATCCCATAATAAGACAGAACAGAAAAGCAAGAAAGAGTGCATTTGTGAGTATAATACAGAGAACAAGTGAAAAGGATGAATTGCAGACCATCCCCAACTATAGAGTTCATTGCGTGACTCGGAGTAGGCAAGGGTATGATCAGCTCCACAGGCAATGGAATCTATCTGTTGAGCATCCAATGCACTGAGCTGCGTAGGTAAAGGCCTATCATCGGTATCACCATGGCCTAACTGTCCATCCTCTCCACGACCCCACGAGCACACAACATTCCCAGCTGCACAGGATCAAATCAAAACCAATCCAAACACACAAAAGTCAAACAACAAAAAACTGAACGAGGATTTCACCCAATAATATGTCATCGCATCTCATTCAAGACTTGACCCAATCATAAGTTGAAATTAAGAATTTAGAATGTAAACAAAATGAATTGAAAAGTTAACAGAAACTTGAGGGAGAAGGAGATTACAGAGAAGGGCGACGGAGTGGCTAGCGCCGGCGGAGATGAGAAGGACGCGAGAGGGAGGAGAAGTAGCGGCGGTGGGTTGGGATTGCGTCATGAGACCCTTGGAAGAGTGACAGATGTTGGTGTCTGGTTGAACGAGGCAAATAAGTGAGGAGAAGAAAAGGAGTTTACAACATTGATGGGACCAGTGGCAGGAGAGAGTAGAAATTAGGAGAGGATCCAAGAGGAACAGGAAGAAGGGTATTGGGTCGGGTCGGTCAGCTGAGAAAATGGAGAAATGAAGACATTGAATTGAACGTGGGTTCACACTTCTGTGTGGTCACCACTCTTTACTTCATCTATCTCCTTCTTCCCTCCTTCATTACCTTCGTTTTATACATCACTTTCTTGTTTTACACTCTTTATTACTAAGTTAGTAATTTATTTTACCAATACTATTTATTATAGTACCAGCGGAAATATTTTTTTTAGCGGAAATATTGTTTTTTTACATAATAAAATTAAAACAATACAATAAAAATAAATAATCATAACATAAAAAGAATTATCCTTTTTAATAGTTTTTTTTATTATTTTTAAATATATTATTTATCTTAATCTTTTTTTCTTTAGTTATATATTTATTTAATTTTTTCTAATAAAAATAATAAATAAAAAATGTAATTTTGCTTTATTTTTTTTCAAATAAATATTCCTCATTTTTTCTCTTAAACAAATATATTTCAAATTTTTCTTTTATTTTTCTCTCAAGTAAAATCAATAAATAAAAATAATAAAAAATTATCATATTTCTTTAATTTTTGTCATTTCTTCCACTTAAAAAAAATCGTTTAGAATAATAATTGTCAATTGTTTTTCTTTCATATATTGTGGTTTGATAGGAGTTTGATTTTGTTCAGAGTTATTTTGATTACAACTGACATGTTTTCTAAAATGTGTAATCAGATTCAAGATTTGATTATTCTTAATATTTTTTTTATTGTAGGGAGAACTCCATCAGGTGAGAAAATTGTGCAAATTGTCTAAAACATGCCTAACATCGGACTTATCAAGTGTTGTAGTTATCAAGTGTTATATCGATGATGTTGTTAAAGGATTGTCTAATTGATTGCTTTTGGTGGTATTTTTTGGAGTAATAGAAATAAGTATTTTGATGGTTTTAATGCATTTCTTAGTGTTAGATTTGCTTTTATATATTGAGTTTGTTGTTATTATGTATTGTATTGAAATTGCTTTTACCAAAAGATGGTTAAGCTTTGAATTGAGACTAGTTATCACTTGGTGGTCATGATTTTTAATAATTACTCAAAGGATAAATAGTTGAAAGTTACGTAATGTTATGCAAGTTCATATATTTCATGTGTCAAGAAATTGGCTAATTTATGTATTCTCAATAAAAAGAATTTTGATTAGTATAACTTTGTCTCTTTTTATTAGTCTTGATTTTTTTTTAATAAATATTCTCTTTAAAGATATTGATTTCATATTTTATTTGTAAATGAGTATTTATCTAATTTCTTTTTTTTTATACTACCTAAGTGGTGAGAATATGATCGCTCATTGAATATATCATCTTAATGAGGATATTATTTTCAAGATAATGCTTATTCCTCACGTTATTTATATTTATATAAAACATTAAAAAATAATTTCTTTTTATTTATTTATTTTCATTAGTTTTTTTTTAATTTCTATTGTACACCAACATAACCTTTTAATAATATAAGGGTGGTATCAAATCGGCACAAAATTTGAAAAACTGGTATGAAACCAGTAAACCCAGGAAAATCAATTAAATTTTTAGGTCCAACCCATTTTATATTTTTTTAATAATTTTCTTTTATAAAATATATAATACATTTTAATTTTTTTTCTTATTTTTTATTTTATATTAATTATGTAAATTTTAAATAATAATTATTTTATTATATTTTTATCTTATTTTAAAAATTATTTTTTTATCTATCTTCTCTTTAATCTATTTTATATTTATAATATTTATTATAATTTAATGTGATTATGATAGTAATATGTTTTTTATAAAAAATATTATTATCAACGAAGTTCTTACATATTTGTTATGCTATAAAAATATTATTTTATTAAATTTAATTAAAAGTTTAAAATCTTAAACCCATCTCTCAATAACCGGTTTAAAAACATTTATTTCTATATACATATTGATACATATTGTATGTAATTTTTTTTTTACTTTGTCATGAGTATTATTAATCAAGGTCGAAACCTCCGAAGAAAAAAATCAGGGTAGAAAGCACTCAACAAGTTAAAGACAAACATTTAGCAGACAAGGGACATAAGATAATAAATAAGACGTGATGGTTCTCGAATAATAGAAGCGTACAAAAATGTAGTTGTGTTGTGAAAAATAATTATATCGCAAACAAAAGCAAAGTATATTGAGAATCAAAAGAAGACAAGTTCTGTTGAACAGTTTGAGAGTGGTTTAAGCTGAAACTAAATAACAAGTTTGATTTTATATATAGAGATAAAAAGAAAATAATTTATTTAGGTAAGAAATAAGAATTAAATATTTATTTTTATAATCTAATATTATTATTTTAAATTATCATATTATAAAAAAAATAATGAGAATGAATTATAAATTTCTAATTTATTCTATCTCTTTTCTCTCTTTATACATACATATTAATATATTAACTTTGAGTGTGGTATATGTAAATCATTTAACAGAGGTCATATAGTCCAGATAACCACAATATACACTGGTAATAGTTCTATGTTCAACTTTTTCTAAGGATAGACAAATAACTTTAAAAAAATAAATAAATGAAAACATGTTATTTACTTTTTAGATATTAAATACTTTCTTCAATAAAAATAGCAAGAAAACATAAAGATAAATTTGAGGAAGAGAAAATTGAACTTTAACTTTAATAGTACACAGGTGGCAACTTATTGAGAAGTCGATCCTCAATAAATGAATACGTAATAAAAATACTTATTATTATTATTCCTATAATTCAAAAGTTCAATTCTAAAATAATGTTATTCTAATGTTTTTTTAATGCTTTATTTACACCCAAAATCAATATATTTAATTGATTTTATAACTTAATAAAGTTTAGTAGGATTTTATTAATCTTATTTTATCATGTTTTCTTTTCATTTGCTAAAATTTTGATTAAGTTATTAGAAATACTTATTTAAATTTGTTTTCTTCAAAGATTTATAATTAAATAAGTGTCATGTGAAATACATGTTATTATGCATGAGATTTATAGAATTATAGTATATTTTTAACATATAAGGAGTTAAATAAGTTTATTTTTTCATTTAATTATAATTTTTTATTTTATCTAATTATTATTTTTAGAACTGTCAAAACAGGTAATATATCCCGTTTAACCTGGTCCTATCCGCTAAGTAATAAAAAATTAAATCTGACCTATATTTTAGAATGTGTAATAATCGAGATCTAAAATAATTTTTTATAATATAATAAATATTGTTAAGCCTCAAATTACAAATAGAGCGAAAGAAATGAATTGAGAGGGAGACATCGATAATTATGAAGAATCGATATGATAATTGATAAAAAATGTATTATGAAAATAGAAAATCGATCAAGAAATGTTATAAAAAAAGGAGATTGGGAAATATCGAGAAAGTCAGAGCACCATCAATCGAGAATTGAATATTTAAAGAGTAAAGAACATCGAAGTTAAATGACATAATGTATCAAAGAAATAAGATATTGAAAAGGGACAATGCTAGGGAATCTTCATGTGGTATATTGAGAGATTTGTAGAGACAGTTATGATCTAGCTAGTTCCTTAGTATGTGTAGTTACAAATGATATGTATCAACAAAGTGGATTGAAGGTTAATGGAAGGAGGTTATAAGGACTTATAGGATAAACTAAATGTAACCAGGGTTATTTTCAAATTGTACAAACACTTACATTCTAAAAAACGCTTCAAACTAGGAATAAACATTTTCAATAAAGTTCTTAGTAGTTCAGATTGCCATTTTTATTTATTTATTCTATCAATTTTTGTTCTATCCTTAATAATGTGTTAGATTTATTTTTCTGTCATTTACTTTCTTTGCACATTTACTTTTCAATAATTTACTTTTATTGCCTTTATTATTCTACCAAATTATTTTAAATATTTCAAATCATATTAAAAATAAAAATTGAATGCGACCGATCTCTAGTTGAAATAACTGTGTTAAATTTTGAGTAATTAATATAAAGAACTAGCATGGTGTTTAAGTGATTCATCGTGTAAATTGTGGAGTTATATTTAATTAAATCGAACAATGAATCATTTATACTAGAAACAAATTAGCATGCCTAGTGAGACGTATACAAATATAGTGTATGATATTAAGAAACGGTAGAATAATTATGACAAGTAAAATACACAAAGTTGTGTACCTAATTCTACGGTAACAACCAACGCAATGCTAAACAACAACAATGAGAGTCAAAATGTGGGAAATGGGAAATGTGAGTGAAAGTGTTCAGGGTCTTACTATTGATCCAAACACTGGTATGTTGGAAAATTAATAATAATAATAATAATTCTGATTTTGATTCTAACGATCAAACATAAACATAATCCCATACTGATAAACATGCTGTAAACTGAATGCAAAGCGTACCTGAATTAGTCATAATGATGATGTCTTTGTAGAGCACTGTATTGATCTTATGGTCTTCCACCTGAAGAGCACCTGTATTTCCCTCTTGATTTTCTCTCTTGATGGGGATAGAAAGAAAGGAACAGGAATGAAACTTACGTTCTGTCTATATGCTCCCAGAAGGGGACCACGACCCCTTAAAATAACCAGAATTAGGTTAATTATTTAAGTTTTAGTATTTCCAATTTGGCCCCTTATCAAATTAGAAATTGCTCAATGGTCTCTACACAATTTTATTTTCATGACATATGCCTTTGTTAGAATCGCGCAGCAGAATGTTCGCGTGGTCAGACAAAAACCAAGAGGGGGGGTGAATTGGTTTCTTAATAAAAATTAGGTTTTCAAAATTTTCCCCAAATTTTACCGATTAAAAACTGTGTAAATGTAAATAGAGAAAGGGATAGA